CCCCCCCCCCCCCTCCCCTCCCACCCCTGCCTCTGCCCCCCGCGCGCGTCCGCTTCGGCGCGCCACTCAGAAGGTTCGCGGCCCCGTGGCGAGCTCTATCTACGGCCCCAATGGGAAAGGTCGCATGGGGCCGCCGCCCCACTTCGGCGCGCCCCGCGCACGTCCGCGGCCCCTCAGGGAGCTCCACCTCAGGCTTCAGTGGGAAAGTTCGCGTGGCGCCGCCGCCCCATTTCGGCGCACCCCTCGCGCGCTTCGCCACCCCATTGGGAGCTCCACCGAAGGCCTCAGTGGGGAAGTTCGCACGGCGCCGCCGCTCACTTTCGGCGCGCACCTTGCGCGTTGCGTAGCCACGCAGCAAGCTCCGCCCAAAGCCCCGGCGAAAAGTTCGCGCGGCATTGCCGCTCAATGTCGGCGCGCGCACCTCAGACGCTTCGCGGCCCCAGGGGGGGCTCCATCTAAAGCCCCAGTGGGGAAATTCGCATGGCGCCGCCGCCCGATTACGGCGCTCCCCGCGCGCGCTCCGCGACCACATGCGGAGCGCCGCCTAAAGCTTCAGTGGTGAAGTTCGCATGGCACCGCCGCCTCATTTCTGCGTGCCCCTCGCGCGCTTCGCTGCGCCATATGGGGCTCCGCCGAAAGCCCCAGTGGGGAAGTTCGCGTGGCGCCGCGTTTCCCGCTGAACCTTCCACGCGGGCAGTCTTGCAGGGGATATAGAGAAACCCGCTGACTTCGACCCCATGCGGGGGGTGGCGTGGTTCAGGCGTTTCCGGGAAGACGTCTCAACGCCCTCGGGGAGGGGGGCGGGGCGAGGAGGAGGACACTGGGAAGGACAGGGCTAGGCTCGGCGGCCGCGCCGCCCCGTCGCCGCGGCGGGGGGGGGGGGCGCGGGCCCCCCGCCCGTCTTCCCATCGCGTCGGCTAAGGGGATCAGGGCAGGCCGTCAGGAGGAGGATGGGGCGAGGGGGGGGGGGGAAGGGCGCCCCGCGTCGAGACAGCGAGCGGCTGCCATGGGAGGAGGAAGAGGAAAGAGATGCGGGGAAATTGCTCGTTTGGGACTTCCTTGCCCCGCCTGGACACCCTGGGGACTGCGCGCAGATCGGGGGGCCGATCGGCCCTGGCTGCGCCTGGAATTGGGCGCTGGTCTTGCCGGCGTCCGACCCGGGGAGCTCCGGCGGATTGGCGCGCTCCCGCAGCCCGCTCAGGGTGGGCGGGGTCGGGCTGAGGGGGGCAGGGGTTTTGCATGTCGCCCCCCTGTGTCAATTTTGATGGGGCTGCGCTGCCGCTGACATTCGCGGACCATCCTGCATCGCTTAAACGCCTTGGCAAATGCGTTCCGCTGGGGTACTTCTCAGACGCGGCGCCTCGCAAGAAAATGTTTCTTTGCGCATTATCTTTCGAATTGCCTGGCAGGCAAGCGATCTTGGAGGGGCGCGCATGAGAAACCAAACCCCGTAGAAGGGAAAACGCGCGGTCGGGGGGGGGAATGCAGGGATAGATGATGTTTGGGGATGGCCCTGGGGGTTAAACCCCTCGGCGGGCCCTGGGGGCGGCCCTGGCGGGCCAGCAGCGGGCGCCGGGCAATGCGTGCGCGCCCCTCCCGCCATGGCTGACAGCAAGCATCAGAAAATCCGACGCTTGCCGATGTGGCTGCAAAGGCTTCTGCACTTTTCGACAATGGTTACGTGTTCTTGCACGGTCGTTTAATGTCACAGCGTCTGGCGCTCACCCTTTGTATGATCATCTGGGCAAGGCTTTTACCGATGATGGCAGGTTGGCGATGAGAGGCAAGCCTCTCGCTTGCGGATGGGTCGGGGCGCTCGCGGGGCATCGCGCCGATCTTCTCGAGATGATTACAGCCCTAGGGTTTACTCGGTGGGGCAACGCTCGCAACCCGCGCTTCAAATTGCCCTGCATTAAAGCAAGCATGCGCTGCTTCCCCGCCGCGATTGAGTCGTCGTTGTGGACAGCGCGCGGCGCCGTCGCATGCGACCACACGATCGCAAGATCGATTAAAAAGTGACTCTCGCTGGCGCAGCTGATTTGAACATGTTGACCTCAGCAATGAGATTCGATGATGACTTGGGGGGCTTTGCCACATTTCGCGGAATGCCGAACCTAGGCCTCGATCGCGGATTCCGCTCGATAGAGTCGGGGCATCTCGCCGACATCCATGCAAATTCCCAGCTGGCCATCCCGCCAGAAAGCTTGGAGCTCACATTCTTTAACAACGTGAATGGCGTTGGCCTCGCTCTCATATGTCCACTTTTCAAAGAAAAGAAGTTTTCAACGAATTTGCTCCACTTGGACGTGGTGCGCATCTTAGACCTCGGCGTGTCGCAGTGCGCGGTGGGGGAAATATTTTACGCACTGTGTAAACGCAACCCTGGCGGGTCACAGCGCGCCGCCGTCGCCCCCAGGGTCCGCGCCAACCTGCTGCACTTGCGCAGGACATGGGGGCGTTCATTACGCGCCGCCTACGGGGCGCCACCGCGGGCGCCGCGTTTCACAACATGGCGGGCATCGGCATCTCATCGTCTTCGCCCGCCCCCCTCGAGGGGAAGCGGGGGCGAGGGCGAAGGGGCGCCGCTATCCCGAGCGGCGGTTTTCTACAGGTCGCCCACAATGGCTATTCCAATCCCAGGGGGCTGCGCGCCTCTTACATAGGTTCGCCCGCGACCAGGGGCAGCAAGGCGACGACCCACAGGCCCGCGCTGGAAATGCCCCGGCCCACAAAAAACAAATGCCCTCGATTGAAAGCGAAAGCCGCCGAAACAAAACATTTTATCCATTTTATTTCGCAGTTGCGCGGGGAACGCGGCGCCTTTCTCGGCCCGAACAGGGCCCGTTTAAGCGTGGCGGTCGAGGCCCCCAGCGTTGCCCGCGCCGCCGCGCATTCGGAGCCGCGGCGCGCGGCGCCCGCTGCGTGCCAGGAACAGCAAAGATCGCTGCTTCGCTTCTTGCATTTCTGGCAAAGCTCGGGCGATCATGAAGTGTTCAAACAACCGCGTGCTGCTTCGTGTAGCAGAGTTCGCGACCGCCCATGGCAGCCCGCGGTTCTACTGGACATGCGCTGACGAGGGCGAGGGCCGCCCCGCGGGCGCTGCTGCAAAATCGCCGCGCGCAGGTGCCACGTTCTATTCCACTTCGCTTGCAAAAGGTTCCCCCTGAGAACTGTCGAGGGCCCCCCCTCCCCCGCCCCCCTTATCGAATCGTCCTCCATCTCGACCACCCACCCCCAACCCAGCGCCGCCATCATCAACGCGCGGGCGCGCTGGGATGGGACAAACGCGCAGAGGGCCCCATGCTGCGCGCAGCTGGTTTTTCGTTTCGCCACGGGGGAGCGCGCGGTAGAGGCACGGGGCGCCCCTCCTCCCCCCCAGGAGGAGGAGGAGCAGTAAAACCAAGGCCAAGAGGAGGAGGGGGAGGAAAAGGAATGAGGAGGAATGAGAATGTGACCGTTTTTCCTCAACGTGAGAGATGGCGCCCGCCCGCGGCTCGGCGCCGAGAACGGCGCGGCCGTCGCCGCCAGGGGCGGCGCGCGCGCAGCTGTCTTCTTTTCAACGGGAAAGATGACGTTTAGAAGGGAGGAGGAAGAGGGGGGGGGAGGGGGGAGGACGAGGGGGGCGCCCCCGCTGCAGCACTGCAGGGGCACGCCGCCCTTCGCACGCTGCTGGCCGTTTATGTTCTTCGTTTGAACGTCGGAAGCGATGGCGGGCGGAAGAGAGGAGGAGTGAGATGGGGGGAAGCATTGGATGAGAGAGGGAAGCATGGGATGATCACCGGTACTTTCGAGACCCGCGGCGCGGTCGCGCGCCTGCGCGGCGCGCTGAGAGCGCGTTTTTGGCAATTGTCACCGCCGCCGCGACCGGCGCGTTCTTCTTTCCAACCTGAGACATGACATTTTAACCCGGTTTCCCCGCGGACGTGAGCGCGGCAGTCCAGGGCGCCGCCGCGCCGCCAGAAGCGCCCCCAGACACGCCCGAACCTTCTTCTTTTCAACGTGAGAAATGATTCGCAAGAAGGATTGAAGGGGTTCAAGGAGAGGGATTGAAAGGATTGGAGGAGGGGGAGGGAAAGGGATGCTGAAGATCCAGACATTCTGAATAATGTGTCGCCCCGACCGACAAACGTCCATGTTGTCTTTCCCAAACATTGCGCCCATGTGCTTCACCCATCCGTTTCACCCATTTCGCCCGCCCGTTTCACCCATCCGTGTCACCCATCCGTTTCACCCATCTGTTTCACTGTGCAGGGCGCGCGCCAGGCGCTGCCCTGTGCACAGCGCGTTTCCACGTTCTTCGTTTGAACGTGAGAAGTGACGTTTTACGCGTTCATGCATGGCCGAGGCCTCGCGAACTCTGCGCGCTCAAAAAAAAAAAACAGCAGGGGGCAAGTCCAAAGGGGGACCCCCAAGGCCCAGCCACTGGGCCCACGAGGCCCCTCAAGGCTCAGCCCAGGAAAGAAAAGACATAACAGCCGAACAAAAAACTAGACCCCAAACAACCAAAGCATAACCAACGAGATCACCACGGCCTCAAACGGAACGAAAGCAGGCCCAATGACTTCCAGGACCCCCCAAAGCAGGCCCAAAAATACCTATCCAAAATCACAAAAAAAACAAACCGATAAGAAAGAAAAGAAAGAACAACCATAAAACCCCCAAAAAAAAACGCCGCAACAGGGCGACGCGAAACTCCTCCAACAGCGCCCCAGGAGCAACGCGAGGCCTGTAGCGGGAGCGCGCGGCGCGGAGCAGCAAACATAAATGCTCAGACGATGAAGTTGATCGGTTGGAGTGTGGAACGTCCCCCCCCCCCCCTCCTCCCCCTCCACTTCCCTCTCCTCCAGCTGCTCCAGCTGTTCCAACTGCCGCGCAACATTATTCTTGAATATCTTGATTGTTGTTGAATATCTTGCATATTTCTGATTATCTTGACTGTATAAAAAATACATCGCTGGTTTGACGGATGTCTTGAATTCTTCAGAGCGCCTTGGGTTTTCTCAAGCGTCTTGACTCAAACTCAAGAAGCGCGGGCGCGTCTTGAGTTTCTCAGGGCGGCCGATGTCAGGGTTCATCAGCATGTCCAGCCACTCCGAAAGCTGCTGCGGCGGGTGGGTCTTTGTCTCGTCTGCAATGGCCTCGCACATATCTATAATGGGTTCGGAGTGCTGCTGGGCTGCTCTGGAACCCTTCTCGATATCTTCGAGCCTGGCGGTGTAGGCGGGGGGCTTATCCATGGCGTCGGCCACGGCGCGCCTCGCATCGTTGACCGCGAGGCCACCCGCCCTCGCAGCCCTCAGCGCGTCGGCCGCGTCGTCGTAGAACTCCAAGCGCGAGCAATCGAAGACACAGATGAGGCACCTGATTGGCTGAGGGGGCTTCTGGGGGCAGCTGCGGTGCGAGGGGTCAGAGCAGACGTCGAGGTCTACGAGAACATCCTCTAGCTGGACGGCCGCGGCGACGGCCTGCGAGTTCGGCCCCCCCTCTGCAAGCCTGACCGACGCCCTCAGGATCCCGCTGAACGCGCCCCGCCAGCGAGACACAACCTCATCGGGTGAACCGACGATCGCATGCCTCTCGGGCTGCAGGGGGGAACTCCAAAGTGACAGAAAAGTCGGCTGGAACGAAGGACGCGATGACCATGGCTTCCTTGATATGTGCCAACATGGAGCTCGACCGGGAGATGTCTTCCAGCGCGCGATAAACAACTGCGACCTGCCGAGCGATCGGGAACTCGACCTTCGCCATGACCGCTGCCTTGATGTCCTGGGCGCGCTCCCCCCGATTGCCGCAGGATGTGGGGCTGTCGAGGGAAGCGGCCCTGCGCCGCGCCATCAACGTGAGGCGCTTCTGGATGTGAGTGGCAATCGAAGCGCCGGGGTCAGCGTCAGCCCGTTTCTTGTGCTTCCCCCTGGCCCACCTCTCGCTGACCTTCGCGCGCTGGTCCATCAAGGCCTCGACGGGGTCGCGCATCGCCAGATTCTCGAGCGCTGCCTTCTCCTCGGCGTCGCTCGTGCCCCACGTGGCCCCGCAGCGCTCGTGCCCGCCGCCCCCCGGCTCGCGCTGCAGGACAGACATGCCGCCAGAAGGCGACCTCTTCGGATCAGGGCTCCGAGCCGACGCCCCGGCGGCGGAGGCAGCCCTGACGGACCTGGGCGGGGGTGGTCGCGGCTACCGCGGCGCCGAGAAAGCAGCGGCGCCCGCGGCAGACGGCGCTGCATGCGGGGGCGCAGTGTCGCCCGTAGCCTCACCAATGCATGTGTCAGCCGCATCTGGGTCATGCCCCCCCTCTCCCGCTTCGCCTTCTGCGCCCAGGCCATCGCCTGCAGGGTCACTGTCGCCGCCGCTCGGCGGAGCGCCACCCCCCAGGTCGAGCTCGGCGATGGACCATCGCCGATGGTTGTGTTCCTCGGCCTCCTGACGAACGCAGAGGTCCACTGCTGCGTGGCCTTCTTGAAAACGTTGGCGCCCTGGCCCCTGTGCATCTGGCTCGAGTGGGACATGTTGAACGTGTCTTTCGAGGCGACGCGCTGTCTCACCAACTCGCATTTGACGCCCGCGCTCTTGGTCAGCACCCCGGGGCGCGCGGCCCGCAGGTCAGCCGAAGGCAGCGGCGTCTGCGTCAGCCTCAGCTCCTTGAAGCTCTTCCCCGACCCAGATTCGACGGCCGACTTCAGGTGGCCACCCCGTGTCTCGACGATGCGGGGCTTATGCGACTCCCGTCCAACACCCCGCTCAGTCTCCATCGCTTCCTCGCCGAGGTGCTTCTGGACCCTGATGGTGTTGGCCTTGTTGAACAGCTGGTCACTGGGCGGCTCGGTGCTGCACTTCTGAATGACATCCTCGAGCGCCCCTTCGCCGTCGAAGTTGCCCCGCGCCCAGGTGGCATGGCATTCGGCGCAGGCAGTCTTGCCACTAAGCATCGCCTGATTGCATGTGTTCCTACAGCAACTGGCCTTCTTAAGTTTGAATGGAGTTGGGGGGCCCAACCAACAGCTTCGCCTTAGGCGAAGCCGTCGCCCAGCTCCCGCTCTGTTGCACCGTGGCAACGATAGTCCCAGTAGTAGGGGGCATGCCATCTCATGCAGCACGTTGATACCGATGGCAAATGATACACCTCGCGCTGATGTGTAATCAGATCTGGGCGGCCGGCCACTTGAGCCACGCGGCCGCGGGCGCGCTTTCACTTCCGCCCCCTCTGCGCCCCAGCTCACTCTAGTCGGGGGGGGGGGGGGGGGGGGGGGGGGGCGAGACTGCAGGCGCAGCAGCTAATACCTTCAGAAAGGACAGCAAAAGGGCGGGGCCGCAAGGAAGGTGGGCCCGCACGCAAGTTGCCTTGCCTGTACTATACTGTGCATGCATATACTTCTCAGGCGGCAGCAGAGCAATATGTCTGGCCAGCCCGATAGGGAGTATGACTGTTTAAATCATGTTTGAAGGATCGTGCACGTCCTATGCCCTGTTGGAGCATCTCTCTGTCGATGCTTCCCTTGATGTGGCCGTCCGCAGTCATATCGCAAGTGTCGCGCCACTGAATACTGTGCACGATTCCGCGCTCCATCATCTGTCGTATCTAACGGATTTGTCCGAATCGGGTACACTCAGTCGGCTTCTTGAAAGTCTTTGCTGGACACGGACATAAAAAAAAAACAAAGTCAGCATCGATGGCCAAAGTGACCTTGATGCTCAGGCGACCCAACTCAAGTCTGTCTTTCAACTGAGTGCGAGTGAGCAGCCATGCGTGGAGCTCGTGCAGAGTCACGGTCGTGGGATAACAGTCTTCCACATTATGGCCAGCTGCTAATGTCTCTGCTGAGTAGCTCGAGCGGACTTGCAAGCGGTGAGACTTGCAGCGCGCGTCGATCAAGTGGACGACGGGTTTGCCAGATGGCGTGCTTCCACGCCGTAGCAAGTTTGCCCCGCGAATACCATAGCCCTTGACGTCGTCATCGGCGTCTCCACTCAGGCGTCGGTAACCTGAATCGGTAATCTGAGTCGCTGCGTCGGTAACCTAGGCGATCTTCTTGGGACAGGCCTGCAGTTCCCGAATGATCGCGTTCAGTCGTCGTACTTGTATATTGGTTGGTTCTTGGACACGTTGTAGAGACACTACATACACCATCAACCACACCTGGGCGATTAATGCGCACACCAGCGAGCCTCTGAGGCTGACGAACACGTCTGCAACCATCTTGGATGCCTGAGCGTCGGCGTCAGCGCCGGTAAGTTCAGGATGTTGTATAGGACGGAGCTGCTTGATGTACTCGTCTTGGTCCGAGGCAACGTTGCCGTCCTCATCCTTGGTATATATCACAGCACAGTTGGTGCATGTGTGCTTGTTGGGTTTGCTCTTGTGCTGGCCGGGGAGGGCGCAGGCGATCTCCCTCCTCGTCTGGCGCCCCTAGGGGCGCGCCGCTCCTGAGCTGTCTGCGGCGCCATCGCTACTTGCGCCGCCGCATCTGATTCTCCCTGCTCCTGTCTGTAGGGTCTGCAAAGCCATCGCCGTCGTCAACTACGCGGGCCTTCCGCTGCCTCCCGCCTCTGGAGCTGGACGCAGACCAGGATGCACTTCTTGCTGCCGTAGGACACCTGCGTCTCAGTATCCCAAAGGCTCCGCCTCCTGGTGGTCCTGAGGCTGGCCTGGTGGCTGCTGATGGCACGGTGCTTGTTGGGTCGAACGGCTCCGTGTCCGCGATGGGGATGGGGGCATCGTCTGGAGGTGGGCTCTCTGCAACCCCGGTAGGGGTCTGATCTGGCCGCCCCCATCCCCCGCTTCCCTCGTCGTTCGATGAACAGCTTCCATTTGTTGTCTCATGCTGCTCGCGCCGCCTGCGATCCTCATCTTCCAGCTCGCACATCCGCTGCGCCTCCTCGATCTGCGCCGCGATGGCACGGTCTTCCTCCTCACCGAAGCGCTTCATGGCTGCGTGCATCTCCTCCAAGTCTTCCTTCTCCCCCTTCTCTACCCCCTGGCGGATCTGCTCCTCGTGGACCATCTCCTCCTCGATGCACTGCTGCTCGGCGTCGCGCTGGTCACAGGGGCCGAAAGGCGGTGGCGTAGGTTCGTTTGTGCCCGCGCATCCGTCTGCAGCCTCTGCTCCTCGAGATCGCGCCCATGTCGAGCCTGGGTCGCTTTCTTCTCGAGCTGGCTGAGCTCGCTGCTGATCACCTGGGCAGCGGTGGCCGCTTCTATTTCGCCCTCCTCCTCATCGCGCGGGGCGGCGGCGGCGTCGGGCACGGGGTGCGCGGGCGCGGCGCTGACCCGGGCAATCATGACAGTGGGGACCGCGGGCCCTTGCCCCACGCTCACGCCCCCCCCCCCCCCCCCTTGCCATTCGCGGTCGTCAGACACGCCCGCTCCTACTCCCAAGTCTGAGTCTGGGGTGATGCTCTCTGCCGCCACCGCTCTGAGGTTCGCATCGATGGCGCTGATCAGCTCGACCTCCAAGGCAGTCTTTGGCCTCGGTTGCTGCGTCGCCCGCTGATGCGCTTGCCGCCCCTCCTCTCGCTGCTTCTGTTTGAGGGCCGACGCCTGCTGCAGCTCCTGCTGGCGTCGCCTCGCCTCGTGGACCTCTTTGTTCTCCTTCTCGACCCTCTTCTTCTCGACTTGCTGCGTGCGGAGGTGGGTCTCCAGCCTGAAGCGCTCCTTCTGGACGCCCTCGTTCCTGCTGATCGCTTTCCTGCGAAGCTCCTCGTGCATGTGCCTGTGCCTCGCGCGCCCCTCCTGGAACGAGTTCCTCTGCGCCTGGCACTCCTCCTGAGCTTGTCTTCTGATCTCCGACGCCCTGGCGGCGAGGTCCTCTCCGTGCTTTGTGATTTCCATTCTGCTTGCCGCTGCCGCGGCCTCTTGGGGCCCCCCCTGATGCCTCCGCCTGCGCCCTTGCTCTCTCTCTGCAGACCCGTGCAGGTTGCAGGCCCCGCTAGAGAACCTCGCCTCCAAGTTCGCGCGCGTCCTCTCCTCGAGCAGCCTGCTCTCGTCGGCCTGCTTTTCTACAGCCTTCATCAAGCTCACCATTTTCTCGTTGATGTCGCTGCTCTCGCTGTCTGCTCGTCTCTTGTTCATTCTCTCATCCTCGGCTTCCTTTCTGGGCGCGGCGGTTGCTGGGGGCCCGCGTCCGACCCCGCTCGGCCCCGAAGACCTCGTGTTCCTCGGGTGGTGCTGCTGCTTCACTGTTCCCATCGCCGCATCGCTCCTGCCTCTGGGCGCCCCGCGTCTCCTGTCCTGGCCCTCCTCGCTCTCCGCGTCCGCTGCCTCCTCTGCGGCCTCGTCCTCCGAGCCCTCGGTGTCGTCAATCAGGTTGAGGAAGTGAGTGCGCCGGTCCCCCCGCGCGCCGAGCTCGGCCTCCTACCTGCTCAGCTCGTTCCTGCTGCGGAATATTTGCCCGGCAGGGAATTCGAGCTTGCGCGTCATCTCCTTCCGTCTTCGGCAGGGAGGCTTCATCTCCAGGAGGGCCCGCTTGTTGACAGCAGTCACAATCGCGATGTCGGCTGTGTCATCGTCCGCAGCCTCGGCTGATATATAGCCAGGTCCTCGTTCCGCTCCTCGGCGCCGCTTCTCTGGATCTCCAAATGCTGGCCGCGCATGGGCCTGGCGCACGAAGCGCGCGCGCATGCAGCTGAGGCAAGCGCCGCGGGCACGTTCTCAATGGCACTGTGCACCTCGTCGCTGCCTGGTCTGTTGGCTGCTGCTGCACCTGCTGCCGCGGCTAAAGCTGCGCCTCTCTTCGGGGCTGGTGTCTGCCATCTCCTCCTGTCAGACTGCCCGTGGGAGGGAGCCGCCCCTTGCTGCAGCTGCTGGTGCTGCTTCTGCTGTGGCGGCCCCGAGCCACGCGGACGACTCTGGGACCGCGTCCTCCACGGGGCAGTCGCGCCTCTCCACGGCGCTGCCTGCTTCCAGCTGCTGCCCTCTCGTTCCACTGCGGCCTGGCGCCGCCAGTGCTGCTGCTCTGCCTGCTGCTGCGACTGCTGGTGCTGCGCGCTCTCATGCCAACCTCCATGGCGCTGTTTTGGTCCGCTGCCACTGCATGTCTGACTGAATCTGGGGCTGCTGCTGCTGGGGCTGCTGCTGCTGGGGCTGCTGCTGCTGGCGCGGGGGCTGCTGCGCATTGCGGTGGCTGCTGAAGCAGCGCGCCGCGCCCAGCACACGGAAGAGGGCCCTGGCGTTGGCCCTCTTCTCCCGTTGGCGCCTGTGCCACGCGGGCTCGCCCTCTGGGGGCGCGGCGGCGCTGTGCCGCCGCGGCCGCGCGCCAATGGCGCGGCTCCACCTCCTCCTCGCAATTTCTGTCCTCCTCCTCCTCCTCCTCCTTCCCTTCATTTGGGAATTTCAGTTGATCATTTGTGAAGAAGATTTCGCCGATTTCAATGGGGTTCCTTTTGCATCGGATTTCACGAAAACTCCTTTTGTTGTAGCCGATGTCGATGGGATCCTTTGCGTTTGGAATGTCAACAACAAAAAAGACACACATTTCTTCTGTAGTCGACCTTTTGTAGCTGATTTCACATAAAGGTTCCTTTTGACTGCGATTTCAATATATATATATATATATATATATATATATTGTGTAGCGGTTTAAGTCGGATGCATTGTGTAGCCGATATCAATCGGATTCCTTTTGTAGCCGATCTGAGTGGGATTCCTTTTTTTTTTTGCAACCGAAATCAAAAGGATCCCTGTCAATGAGAAAAATTGGGGAGGAATCGAAGGACTCAGGCAAAAGCCGAGGAAGAAAGAGAAGTCAACACAGGGAGGGCGATTTGGAGAGTAAGAGGGACTGACAGCAGGAAGAGGAAGAGGAGGAAGACGACTGAGGGTAGATGCTCAACGAGGATCGATCAGTGAAAATGCGAATGGACGCCTCAACGATCGATGTGAAATTCGTGGGTCCTCTGGGGTGCTGCGAATATCTATATATATATATATATA